CTGTTGTTTATTTCTTGTGATCCGTTATTGTCTTCAGTTATTGTTCTGTCTCTGCTTTGGTTATTGCGGCTCATATACATATATTTCGTCTTGTTTTTGTTGATTTGGAGCCCCATCTTCTCTGCTTCCTTCTCGAACCTCACGAAACTCTCCTTCATCCTTAATCGTGTGTTTCCTATTAGATCGATATCGTCTGCAAATGCCAGTAGTAAGTTTGGTCCTTCTCGATGAAATACTGTATTCGGTTCTTCGATTCTTGCACTTCTGATTATGTGCCCCAGAACTAAGTTGAAGAGTTGTATCACCCTATTTTAGTCCATTGTTTATTTCAAATGTCTCCGAGTATTGTTGTCCAACTCTCACCTTACATCGTAACCGTTGCATACACATCCGTATCAACCTGACTAATCTTTAAGATTATCTAGTTAATATTTCCGAGTGATTGGAGTAAAATTGATGGAGTTATAGGCATTTATGAGTGAGTGAGTGAGGTGAATCAGTTAGTTAGGTGAGTGAATGAGGTAAGTGAGTGAGGTAAGTGAGTAAGGTGAGTGATTGAGGTGTGAGTAAGCTGAGTTAGTGAGGTGAGTGATTGACGTGAGTGATTGAGGTGAATGAGCGGGTAAGATAAGAGAATGAGTGAGTGAGTGAGACAAGTCAGTGAAGAAAATGAGCACTCACATAGAAATTGGAATAAGTATAGTGTAAAGTTCTCATAAATATGCACTCGTGGCAGATAACAATCGAATTACTGGAGCTGATAAAATGGCTGCAGATGCAACAAAAAAAAAAAGGAAGAGTTTGTCGAAAGGAGCAAAAAGATTTTTTAGACTTTTAGCAGGAAGCACTTCGCTATATGGACCTGGTATAGGCGATACTGTTTGAGTATAATAAAAAAATATTTTTTTAAACGCGTTTTTCTCGGAATTATTTTTTTCAAGTCAGTGTTCACTATATCACAAAAACTACTTGATTGATTCTTTTCAAATTTTGCACACTTCGTTTACAGATAAATTAATAGGTCGCAATGTCGGCATATTGTCCATTTTGTTGTTTTAATTAATTTTACAATATCAAATTTGTCAAATTTTAACAAAAATTTTTCGTAAGTTCAAATAATTCGTCTTTTTTTACTTTTAAACACAGCAAACTAACTTTTTTTATCTTGGAAAATTCGCTGTCATTTTCTTAATTTGTAATATTTTTGTACCAAAATTTCAGATAATACTCTTGAAATATTGTACTATAATGTACTAATGTTATAAATAAATTTATATTAAACAATTAAAAAAAATCTTAAAAATATCTTAATAATCATGGTCTTAGGTTGAAGCGTGTTCCTTTGAAAAACTAACTAATATTTTCTAGAAATACTTATACATATTTGATATTCGTGCTCTTAAAAACTGCCGGCAATTTTTTTTTTAATTGTACATTACATGTTTCGCAAATAGGTGGATCACTTTTGGAAAATAAATATGAGTGAGTAAGTCTCGTGTGTCAAATTCGTAATCTCGTTATCACCAATTGTTCTCTTCTGTTCCTTGTTGAGGGTTCCCAAGCTGCAACGTCATTTTTAATTTGCTTCAGTGATGTTTGAGAAGATTGCCATTCGTTTTTCGATATCGGCACATTTAGCAATTTCACTCGCGCACTGGTTTGCACTTTCGTTGCCAGCAATGCCAATGTGGGATGGAATCCATATAAATCTGATCCTCTTAGAATTTTCTTGAGCTTGCATGAGTTCTAGTTTTATCAGTTTCTCAAGGGGACCTTTAGGATAGATCTGTTTAAGGGTTTGAAGCGCGCTTAGTGAGTCACTTAAGATAACAGAGTTAGGAATGTTATTAGAATTTATATGTATGATAGCTTTAAACACTGCATAGAGCTCAGCGGAGTAAATCGAAAAGAAGGTTGGGAGACGAAATTGATATCTTTTAATAATAATAATAATAATAATTTAATTTTATTCTGCATTACAGTGATGTCCATTCCATACTATATTTTTTATAACCTTAAAACACATCAGACGACATCTGTGAAGTACTCTAGGTAGTACTTATTTATTGTACCTGGTATATTGTTGTCCAGAATAAATATTCTGTCATTATAATAGTTTATAAACATGCATATTTTTATCAACAACTCTTACACAACGTATTTTATAATAAAAATATTGAAAAAACGATCTGAACTACAAAAATAAACTAATAGATATAAATAATAAACAAATCTATATGGCTGTTTATTTTATTTGGGTTACCTCCAATGTCGTAAAATAAATTTTATAGTGGTTATAGTATTCATTTCAATAAAAAGTTAATTGAATAAGTGGAAAAATAAATCACTTTTAATTAAAAAGTGGTGAAACTAGATGGTGTACGGGGGTTTTCAAAAAATTTCAAAAAATTTCAGAAAAGTTAATGTATGTATGATTGATCATACATACATTAACTTTTCAATTTAATTTCATCAACATCGATAGCCGCGACATCAGAGTAATCTCGAACCTCTACTGGAACCAGAAAGTCAAAATAAGAATTGAAAATCAAATGTCGGAAGAAATAGAAATTCTTCGGGGTGTGAGACAGGGCTGCGTATTGTCACCACTGCTGTGGTATATATATATAGCGAAGCCATTTTCCAAGAAGCTTTAGAAGAGTGTAACGATGGAATGATAATAAATGGTGAAATTAATAATAATATAAGATATGCCGATGATACTGTCATATTCACTTCAACTCTGCAAAGTCTAACAAACATACTGGAACGGCTGAATGAAAAGTGTACCATATATGGTATTAAAATGAACTTAAAGAAAACAAAATTCATGGTCATTACAAAACATCCAAAAGACAACGAGACACTCCATATTAATAATATCCAGATAGAAAGGGTAGATAAATACAAATATCTAGGAACATTGGTTAGTCAAAACGCAGAACAAACGCAAGAGATTAAAAGCCGTATAGAAATAGCAAGGGCAAAATTTGTAAAAATGAAACATCTATTGTGTAGTAGAGACCTAAGAATGGATCTAAGGATAAGGTTATTGCGCTGCGACATTTTTACAACTTTGCTCTACGGATCTGAGGCATGGACATTGAAACAACTGGAGATTAAGAAATTGGAAGCTTTTGAGCGTTGGTGTTATCGAAGGATGCTACGAATAGCATGGGTACACAAAATTACCAATATTGAAGTCCTTGATAGGGTTAATAAGAGGGAAGAAATTGTACAGACAATTAAGAGGCGGAAACTTGAATATTTCGGTCATATATTAAGAGGTCCTCGTTATGGGCTACTACGTTTGATTATAGAGGGCAAAATAAAAGGTAAAAGAGATGTAGGAAGAAGACGAACTTCCTGGCTACGAAATCTAAGGGAATGGTTTAGTCTGAGCTCTAGCCAACTATTTAGAGCTGCTGTAAGTAAAATAAGAATTGCCATGTTGATATCCAACCTTCGTTAGAAGATGGAACCTTAAGAAGAAGAAGAAGATGTATGATTACTGATGATACTCATATAGTAGGTTGATATAGTAGGTTGATTTGATTATCGATATTGGGCACATCCTGAAGTGATTCCAGCAAAAAATAGCTTCCTATGGAAAATGTCCAATCCAAAACAGATCCCGTCTAGACTAATACCACTTCATAACAGTTTCTTCAAAATTGTTGGACAAAATAGATCTTTTTTTCGAGGAACTAGCCATAGGTCACAATAACTACTTAAGTAGTAAAACGAACAGACAGGTGTCGTCTCACCAACTTCTTCTATACTTTTATACTGACCCTTTGAAGAGCCAAGAAACACCTGCTCAAAGCGTGGCAAACGGTTATTCGGTCCCTAAAATCGACGTTTTTTTCATTTTTTCGCAATTTTAGCGATTTCGCAGATTGCTTTTTTTGGTATCAACCTACAGAAAAAAAAATTGTTACTGCGGGGTACTGGCAGCAAATTGCAATATCACCATATTTGGCTCCAGTTATGGTGCGAATTTTTGTAGAATTCCTCATATTTGTCCACTTGTTGGACGTTGGTTCCGTTTATTAGAAGATTCTCGTTATTTCTTTGAGTTCTTGATATTCTCATAAATTTCGTCTTCTTGACATTCATTGTTAGGCTATACTCTTTTCTATACTATGCTATTCTGGTCACCAGTCTCTGAAAATCTCTATATCTAATGTTGTTAATGGGAACTCCATTTACCTTTATTCCAGCTGTTTCACCCTCAAAAGCGTTTTTCAGAATATCTTTGAAGTAGGCGTTAAAAAGAATTGGCTACAATAGACATCCCTGTCTCACTCCACATCTAATTTCAATTTCTTTTGACAGCTGTTCGTTAACACGTACTTTTGCTCGCTGTTTATAGTATAAATTTGATATGATCCTGAGGTCATTGTAGTCGATCTTCTTTGATTTCAGGACATTCATTAATTGTATATGTCGTACTTTAGCGAATGCTTTATCATAGTCAATAAAACAGGCGTATATATCTTGACTGACGTCCAGGCATCTTTGTATCATTATATTAAGTGAAAAAAGAGCTTTACGCGTTCCTAGGCCTTTGCGAAAACCAAATTGTGAATCATTAACGTCTATGTCCAGTTTATGATATATTCGGTTATGGACTTTTGGTAGTAACTTTAGCACATGAGACATCAAGCTAATGGTGCGGTCGTCTCACAGACCAGACTTTTCCTGTTAAGGATTAAAGACCTTTCTAATCTTCTGCCACAAAAACTTTTTTATCGTGCATTTTCAAATCGTGTATGTGTCTATTTTTAAATTTCGTATTCATATAACAATAAACAGAAAGAAATTTTCTCTACTTTAACAAAAATTGAATCTGAGATTCTGTTATTTTTGTCTAAAGAGATCTAGGTCATATACTTAAACATTGTTTCGCTAATGAACAGGAGTCTATTGTTTGTAAATTACAGCCGAATGTCTGCAATTCATTCATAATAATTGAAATCATTGTATTTTTTTTTCAGGAATCTGATCTCTGGCAATCATCTGCTTCGGTAAGTCATTTTACTTTGTGTTTTGTGTTCTTCACTTTATTGTATGAGATTTTAAGATTAAGATTAGGAAATGATTATTAGTACATAACACTGAAAAAAGAAACAATTTGATATGTAAAAGATTGAAAGTATTTGAAATATAGACATTTCGGAGAACGCTGAAAATTTAGTAGACTGTTAAAAAACAATTCAAGATGTATTGGGCCTAATTAATAAATAATCTAAAATTATAACGCCGCCAGACAGATAAAAGAAAACAAAACAATGGGGGCGAAACCACAACAATGTTATATGACGAGGCATCGCAAAAACGACGTCGTACCGCAATATTATGGAATTAGCACTTCTAGTGAGACATGGACCGAGCAACACGTATCCTATATCTACTTACATTAAGATATATTAAGAAAAAAACTGAAAGAAAATTCTCATTTTAAACTATTATGAATGACGATGATCAAAAGGAAATATGAGTTTCATATGTTGCAATGTTGTGACTTTACACTTTGATTTGCTTCATCGCACCTCGAAAGAATATTTTGTGGTTAAAAAAAAATTTCTGATTCGTGTGGAAGCGTTCTCCGTGCTAATCGTACCAGCTTTCCAGGTACTCCCAATTCTACTGTGGTCTTCCACAATGCCTCTCTGCTAACAGAATTGTAGGCTTGTTTAAAGTCCACGAATATTTGGTGTACGTCGCGATTGAATTCCCAGTTTTTTTCCAACACTTGGCGTAGGACGAAAATCTGGTCTATGGTTGACCTTCCGGTCTGAATCCACTTTGATAGTCACCTATTATTTCCTCTGCGTATGGAGTTAGTCTTCTAAACAATATTGTGGATAAAATTTTGTATGTTCTATTGACTAACGATATTCCTCTATAATTGCGACATATTTGTTTGTCTCCCTTCTTGTGGATAGGTATTATAGAACTTTCATGCCAGTGTTTCGGTATTTCTTCTCTTTCCCAGACTTCTCTTATATAAGATGGTATATCTCAAGATGTAGCTTTTCTCCCCCTTTTTTTAGTAGTTCCGCCTGTATGCCGTCTGGTCCTGGGGCTTTATAATTTTTTAGGGACGAAATTGCGGACTTTACTTCAGCTAATGTGGGCTCTACTATTTCAGGTTCGGCTTCCTGGTATTGTCTGTGTTGCCCCGTTGTTGTGGGAGTTTCTGTATTTAAAAGTTGTTTAAAATACTTTCTCCATTGACGGCTTATCTCCTCGTCGTCGGTAAGTAATTGTCCTGTATCATCTTTTATAAATCTTGGGCTGTTGGTCGTGTTGCCCTTCATTGTTTTTAGGTCCCTATAAAACTGTCTAGACTGCCCGGTTCTATGTTCTTTGCATCACGTCATTCTTATTTTGGACACGTCTTAGCATTCTCTTCAATTGGGTCTGGTCTATCGCTGTATCGTCAAGTATTCATTGATACACAAAATGAAGATATTATTCATGATTTTTTTTTTGTAAATAATAAAATATTCGAAAATATTGAATAGATCTTAATTGCGCTAGGACATTCTTATATTTTGAATATTTAAAAAAAGATAGAAAATACGCCCGTTATATACAAAAATTTTCACTAATATTTTAATCGTATTCATAGGGACACAACTACCAGACATATTATATTATCACGAGTGATCCGGTATTAAACAGATGGGTTGAGCAGTTTTGTATAAGGAATTATTTTCTGCGGAAGTAGAATATGGTACATTTCGAAGGGCAATTGGAAGTCAAACCTGGAAAAATATGTAATTTTAATTACAATTATTGTGATTTATTCCAAAAAATATACATAGTAGGCACTGTATCTTTAATAAATCATAGCGTTTGTCGCAGAAAGTATAATTTTCACAAAAAATTAAGGGAAAATCAAAGTATTCATGTCGATTCTAAATAGCAAATCTTTATTACTAGGTAGTATTACCTTATTAGTAGGTAGTTACAATTTTGAGGTTCTTGACGGTATTCCTATATCTTTGCATTGTTTCGTTTATCTAGCATTTAGAATCTTTCCGCATTTCTGCTTAGAAGCTTTTGATTTTTCCCTAGCCATTGGCTAAGGTAATCTAATTCAATATGATTTTATTTGACCTGACGATTATGTTGATTTTTTTTTAATTAGGATATTCTATTACCTCTTAAGACCTGGCCTATTTCCCATACAAGATTATGAACTTTATACCCAACTTAGTGACTCACTGTTTCATGAACGCGAGAAACAAAATATGTAGATAGAATAAACCGGTCCTAGTTTGTATATATTGTTCAGTACAGTACGACCAGGATAGCATTAGACGTGAACTGCGCGTTAACCGTTGTAGGGCTGCAGAATTCATTTGTGGGTGTAAAACAAAATACCGAATTATGTCCTACGTCACAACATAACCAGCATAAACCCAATCTTACATTACACCCACAAATGAATTCTACAGCCCTACAACGCTTAACGCGCAGTTCACGTCTATTGCTATCCTGGTCGTACTGTAGCTTGGCTAAACATTTCCTGTTCCTCGTGATATTAATTTATCGCACAAATAATTTAAAGTTAGTTATTTTCACGGTTACGAAGTGAAGTATGAGGTAGAAAGTACAGTTTGTTGTTTTGTACTGCTACATTCATCTCGTGTTAGAATAGCAAGTTTATAATTTAACCCTCCATTAATCGCTAGGAAAAACTGAGAATCAAGAGGGTGTCTGAGACCTACAATTAAAAAAATAGTTATTTAATATTTTTGAAAATATTTTATTGGAAAACAACAGATACAAAATGAATATTGTTATTTTTAATATAAAATTAAATTTAAAAAAGTTCTATAAATCTTTGAAATGGAAAAAACAGTTCGTAATTTTTAGTTAAGAGGAATATAGATTAACTAAGAAAAAATAACTCAGGTTTTTAACAAAAATATAAAGTAAGCATTTCACTTCATTTAGCAAATGAGACATTTTATGTTGTAGCGTCACTCGAGCAAAGCTGACATATTCCATGAATATGTTCATATGTTCAAGGCACATTAATTTTATGCATGAAAACAACCTTGTGTTTAATTTCTTTCTGGAATTGCAGGAGTTACATTTGTGATGCCGCAAATTTCACGAATTCGGCATTTGAGGTTAATTGGCAGATTTGTAGTAGTAACTCGACTTTTTAAATAGGGATATATAAGTTCATTTGCAAGGTTTCAGAAAATCACGTCATTTCATGTTTTTCTCATTCTTAATGAGAAAATGTGAACTGGATTTATGTGGCGGATAGTTTGGTTTTCAAGATGGAATGGAAACTAGGGAAGCAATAGGGTAGAGATAAAAAAGGAGTGTATATTTGTTTCATTGACTGTTTGGAAAACTATTTGATGTTAAATATTTGACTTAAATATTTTATATATTTGGTTTTAATATTCTTAATAGTTTTAACATATTACCTTATTTAAAAGTTACTTTTATTCTTTAAATTTTTCACTTTAAAGGGCAAACTCGAAACACATTTTGTATCAGCTTGAAGGTTTTTTTGGCACCCCCGACAATAAATTAGAAGATACCCTTAAACACATGTGGGAAGGATGGTTAACTTCGAATCATATTTCAAGTCAAGTTACGCTAATCAATTGTTATTTCTTATTTACAATTATTTATTTGGTTTCGAAAATTAGTTTACGGATTTTAATCAGATATCGCCATTTGCGTCCATTCGAAGCCATGTTAGAGTTGCTTCCTAAGACAGAAGAGATTTATTTTCACGTTCAGAGCGACTATGAATTGCCGTTCTGAAGAGGCCTATTAGGCCGAAATACGTATAAGCGGATACGTAGACGCACTATACATGAAATTAAATCTTAACTGTCTTTTCCTTTTTAATTAGGTATTTATTACTTTACATTATTAAACCAATGATTTCAATACATCATAATCAAACAATTGACTATGAGCCGTTCGATAGAATAGAACTCACACTGCTTTTGAACACTCGGAAAAAGATGAGCCTAGATAACAACGATATTCGATTTGAAAAAAGAAACAGGGAGCATTCTTAAGGTCAGAACAAGACGAAACCTATGAAAATAAATGGCGTCTCAATTAATGGCCATGCAAATAAGAGCGATTATTGCTGACAAACTGGAAGCTCTAGATAATTTAGGAAGGAGTTCCATTTGAGTTTAAAATAAATACTACTAAAACGATAATTTCAGTAAATCCTTATGTAAATAATACGATATTGGTTTCATTTACAAATGAAAAATTAACAATTCAACTCACGACCATATGTTTTTTTGTCATGTATAACGATTTTCAGACTCATAATTACTGTTACGCCAGCCCTTGCTACGTCCTTAACTAAATTTATGAGGTGATTCGCAGAAGGGCTGCGGCTGTTTCGATTTAACGAGAATTCCACTAAATTTTAGAAATATTAGATTTTACTATAGTGTATTTTTATGTATGATAGAGTAATAAAACAATAAATTATGTATGCAAATCCCTAAACTGTTGATACGGGTGACTCAATGAAAAACAGATATTTGTTAACAAGTTTACAGAAGTATATAGGAAAACAATTTTAAATTGAGTATGACCACCAGCTATAAAGGTTGAAGCAGAATAGAATACAATAGTTGTGAGGGTTACTAATCCCTAAATAAAGTTGCCAGTGTCGGAGTGATGGAGGTTAACAGGTACTAATGAATTTGCAAGAAATGTAAGATGTTTATTTTATTGCTTATATATAACCAATAAAAGTTTAATAAGTACCTACCTATTTGCAAAATAAAGTTTAATTCTTTAGATAAAATAAAACGTTTTATTTTATCTGAAATGAGTGCATTCCACGAAGTAAGGGTTTCAACAATCAAACATTTAATTCTTTAATTCCAGGAATCTACGACAGTAATTGACTAGATAATTACCTTCTAAACTTATTCCACAGAAAATGTGATAGTGGGTTTTTCCATTTTGTAGGAAGGTACAAGTGGCGTATTCAAAATTCTTAACAGTT